TGCAGGTCATGAGAGGATTCAGAGACAGAGTGGGGAGCAGAACAGGCAGATCTACTGAAATGCACTGCTGAGGGGAGGAGCAGGCGACCCGGGAGAGGTCTGCTGCGCCCTGTGGGTCAGCTCCTGGATGGAACTTATGCTGCAGAGGCTGGAAATAGCATTGAGACTTTCACTCCTGTGCCACGAGGGAGGTCCTGCTCCTCTACCTTTTTAGCTGTCAATTGTTCCCTGGGCCCCCTGCAGCCCAATACTGTGTAACCCCTCAGTTATACCAGTTGGCTCCCTCTTAGCAGCCAGCCTTGAACTACACAAATTCTCATGACAATTCTAAAACCTTAAGGTGGCAACTGTGGCCTCATCTTCTTTCCCCTACCCTTTGTCCTCTGTGCTCCAGCTACCTGGCTTTCCTGAAGTTTCCTGCAGGCACTAACCTCCCTGACTCAAGACCTCCGAACTGCCAGTCTTTCTGCTTGGAACCTTGCCCACTCTCCTTATTGTGCTCACCCTATTCAGCCTTTAGATCTTAGTTCTCATGCTATTTCTTCATAGAGAGTACTTGGCCTCCTTGGAAGAGGGAAACTAAGTTTCCCTGTTATATGCTATCATCCTTTTAGATGTGGTGTTATACTTGTCAGATTGTCACAATTTAAAAGAGAAAGAAAAAATGTTAAGACTCTGGACTTAAACATGAAATTTGTTTTTAATGATAGCAAGTTATCATTAAAATGATAAAATACTCACGACTGAACTAATTTGTAGATTAGTGACTACCTGTGGTCTGCCTGTTTGCAGCCTGAACAATGCAACGTTTGTCCTAACTTTGCAGCTATTCCTGCATTAATCATCACACTGTCTATTAACTGGCCACTCCACACCAGGCACTGTGCTTGTTGCTTTGTGTAGATGACTTCATGTACTACCCATAACCACCTGGGAGGTCAGGTAAGGTTCAGAGAGGTTAAGACATTTGCCCAAGGTCACAAGTCATAAGTGGTGGAGCCAGGTGCCAAAGGTCTCCACTGGAACACTTGCTATGTGTCAAGGTACAATTTGTCAATTTAGAGTGGGAGAGGCTTCTAAAACACAACAGCTACTCATATTGTTATGTGCTCACCACGTGTCAGGCATGGTGCTAAATGCTTCGCACAATCTGATTCAATCTTCACAACATCTATATAAACG